TGACTTCCCTGAAGTGACCATGGTCATCTGCATAAACATCTAGTGTTCATCGATATTTTGCGGTAGGTCGTAGCCCAGTGCACCAGCCAGGGAAACTTTATAACTCGGCTGAGCCGAAACAGTAGATAGTTTGTTTGTGACCATCTTACAGCACTTCATTTTCGGGGACCCACCGAAACTCATGCGGATGTTCGCATAGACAAGAGCATGGTCTGAGTCAAGAAAGGTTGACCAGATAGATCCGCAATCCCCTCCATCTGAATGTGATTGTGATATCACCAATCTGAAACCATGATTGAAACGCAGAAGCGGGTCGCCAAGTAGTGGAACGTGTCCTCGAATGTCGAAAGTTGGTGCTCGGGAGAAACAGTGAGCAAGGTGTGAGAAGTCCTTCTCGATTATCTGAGCGGCTTTCATTGAGCGCATGTTGGCCATCGAGGTGACTTTCGCAAGATAGTAGACGAGCGACACGTGCGTTGAGATCATCAGCAAGGACAAACAATGTCGGATTTGCAGGCTCTGCTCAAGAGCTGATGAAGTTCATGGTAGAAATCGTCCTTGACGGAGTCGGAACTGCAGTCAGTTGGAGCTGAGATCTCAAACAAGTTGCGTCTCTCCTCACGACATCGGTTTAACATGTATGATCATCAAAGCAGAACTGCACACAGTCGGCTATTAATCAGGAGCCAGTCCAGCAGTGCGGCCTCCGCTTTGCTACTTAGTGCTACACCAACGCTAGCTAATCCTGCAGCAGCTGCTTCTGCGTCACCAGATAGACGTAGATGAAATATGGCTCCGTGATCGGCAGAATATCTCAACTTCATCACAGTGCTAGGATCTTGTAAGCGCATTTCGGAAAGAGAGCAAACATCGATGGCGAGGGATTCCAGGGTGCGCGCAAGACCAACTTGCTGCTAGATCTGCATGAGTGTACGTACAATGATGCATGCCAGACGGAACGAAGACCGAGGCCGAAGGAGTGCGAGCTGGGCGAGTTTATAATGCAGTCGTCCGTCCAACCCTCTTATACGGTTGTGAAACCTGGCCCATCAGGTCGACGGACATAATGAGGCTAACTACGTTCGATCATCGCCGCCTCCGCAGCTTAGCTCATGTCTGGTGGGAGCACCGCGTGAGTAATCAGCGTGCTCGGCGTCGCGTATTTGGTGCAGGAAGAGCTACTGAACCGCTCAGCAGTATCATATAAAGCACAAGGCTACGATGGCTGGGGCACGTGTTGCGCATGTCAGCACACCGACTCCCGCGACAAGCAGTTTGAGCGCCGAGGGTGCGGTTGGAAGAGGAGGAGGGGATGCCAAGCGACGACTTGATTGAGAGAAATGAAAACCCTCACTTCGAAGCTGGCGTTAGTTGGTGTATCCCTAAGGATGAGGAACACGTTTGGTTGGACACAGTTGCTGATTTGCCTAGGAGCTGGCCCCAATGACGTGTTCGAGCTGTGTCTTCGATGGTGATTTGGGGAAGGGGTGATTGCCAGTCCTGTAAAAGAAGTTTGCACTTGGAGGGGGGGGCAAAGCACATACCAAACTTAGACGCTTCAATCACCAAGCGACCAAAGATCCATTGCATCCCATAGGGGTCGTCACCGAGCAAAATGATATCTTCAACGTAATCCAAGTCGGTCGCGTGATGACCTGCAAGAAGCTTGATGCCGAAGTTCTACAGGCCCTCTAAAGCTCCCAAGAGGACATCGTCGATCGCAAAGTTGAATCGAGAAGGTGATATTGGCCATTTTTGTCGCACGCCACTTGTGACACGGAAGGGTGGGGAAAGCGTGTCATGGGCTCGCACTTGGCCTGAAGTGTGGAGGTATAACGCAAGAAGTATAGCGACGTACTTTTCCGGAACTCCATTCTTCAGAAGGCAGTTCCATAAAGCAGATCGATCTACCGAGTCGAACGCAGCCCGAATATCCAGGAAAGTGACGATGGCGGGTCTGTGGTAGAGGTGACGATGCTCCAGGAGTTGGCGAAGGGCGAAAATCTGATCCACACATCCTAGAACGGGGCGAAAACCAGCCAACACCTACCGGTAGTGTGACACACGAGTGGGGGATAACCTGCGGAGCATGATGGATGCTAGTAAAATGGAGGCAACAGATATGAACAGTGCCCCTGTAATTAGCACACGAAAAGTGAGAACCTTTCTTGAAATTTGGAACAAGGATTGACATCCCCCATGAAAAGAGGACTCAATTCTTCCTGCCAGATCTTCAGAAACAGGGACGTACGCTGTTTGGTGACCGCTGTACCACCGTATTTGAACAACTCGGAGGGAATTACATTTGAGCCGGCCGGCGCTTCAAGTGACGAATCTCAAGACAAACCTCCGCTTCGGTTGGTGGTTTGAGTGGCACTATCCATGGTATGTGACTGGGTATACTGAGTGTAAAGGTGGAGAGCGAGGAACAACTGAACCGAGACTGGAAGTGCTCAGCCCATCTGTCCATGCGTCTCTGCAAACTAGGGATTTGTGGCTCGTCGGCCTCACATATGACCTCCTATGTCCAGTGGTTCAAATGAGTTGAAACAGATTGCGAGTTTTTCCGGTGAGGACGCCGGTCTCCATATCCAAGGCGTGTTGGAACCACCAAACTCCCCGATCGTTGAGAATAGTTCATTTGAGTTGTCTGGTGATAATACGGCGAACTTCATTCTGGTCTGGGTTTACTGAGAAAGTTCGACCTCAGTCGAACAGTGTCAGGGAGCGCGCCGATATCCAACCCTTCAACGTGTGGTGAGATAACCAACAGACCGATTGACCTGAAGTTAGCATTGATTGCTGCAAGAACTTCCAACGGTGTTCAATATCAGTGGGCGGGACACAGGCTAGTGTGCTTACCAGTGATAGTTGATAGTCGAGCTGAGCCGACTGACCAGCTAGCCTGTTCGTATCAGGCTTACAAAGCCTCCGTTTCTAATTTCCTCCGAATCGCATGCAAATGGTGGCACAGACCAGTGCGTGATCTGAATCGAGCTAGGCAGACCAAAATGATCTACAGTCTTGTAGGCTGCTACTCGTCCGGAAACACATTGCAATGTGGTCTATTTGGAACCAAGCATGCGACGGTGGAGAAAGACGCCAGGCGGTAGAGCGTTTCCACGAGTGTTTGAAGTTTGTGCTTGCGAGAAATAGGCTGTTGTCTTCACACAATTTGAGAAGCCTGGTTCCATTATCTGAACGACTCAGGTTCAGTGCATGACAACCACCTAAGTGATATTTGCCTGATAAAAGTCGACCGACACGTGTGTTGAAGTTGCCAGCGAGGACAATGAAGTTTGACTTGGCGGCTTCGCGTAACAGCTGATGAAGCTGGCGGTAAAAAATTTCCTTGTTCAGATCAGAGCTACAATCAGTTGTCGCGTAAGCAGATTGCGCCTTTCAGAGCGCTAGCTGTTAATCCTGCATGAGCCTTGGAGGTGAACTGCACATAGTCGGCTGTTAATTGGGAATCAAGGAGTGCGGTCTCGGCTTGGTTGCTTAGTGCCACACCAACGCCGGCCCAGCCAGCAAAAGCAGCTTCTGCGTCTCCAGGTAAACGTAGGTGGTATATGGCTTCACAGTACTTGGGTCATACGACCGCGTTTCGGAAAGGCAACCAATAACAATGGTGAAGGAACTCAGAGTACGTGCAAGGCTGGACTGTTGCCCAATCTGCATAAGCATCCGGACATTGACGGTTGCCAGCCGAAAGAAAGATCAGGGTCGAAGAATAACCCCAGGCAGAACATCATGGGCAGCAGTGAAACCGGTAGCGGAGGCAAGTCGAAGGAAACAGGGATTATTAACAGAAGAATGATTGTCGTGTAATGAAGCTTGGTGTGGAGCGAAGGAGGCAGGAGTGAGAGGATGCGGAACAGCGATGTAATGCATGATTTTTGCAGCGAGCGCAATACTACCCGGTTGCCCAGGTCGAAGTAGGGTGTCGACTTAGGGGACACCACTCCGAACCTTTGGCTTAATAGCCTACGCGCAAGGCAGCGGGGCGAATCCAAGGAATCGTGCCCAGTGGAAGCCGGTGACCGATTTCTCGGTTCATACGCCTTTCGTTTGGTAAGATACCAAACAGGGACCCAGTCTTCCCCGTGGTAACAGCAGTTGGCAGCTGGAATACATTGCTCTACCGGAAAAACAAGGGGCAGTGACTTTAGTTAGCGGCAAGTCACATTCGCCACGTTGCAGTGTTGTTGAATGGACATTGAATTACTCTAAAAGAGCTCAGTGGTAGTCGAGAAGAGAATATAGACGATAATGAAACATCTTACTGTTGTATCGCTATGCAGAGAAGCCACGAGCTCAGAACGCAACTCTCACGGCGAAAACAATCGTGAACCATAAGTGGTGTAAAAAATCTGATAAGGTCAGCTGTGCGTCATCACCGAATGGAACCAAACAACGAATCAAAATGTTAATCAGCAGAGAGAATTGCAAACAGGTCCGTTTGCATCCAATGAGTGAGACCAAACTCACACATTTGTCGGAGAAGTAGACTGGTGCGGATGATGAGAAAAGGAAACTTAGCTGAATAGCAGACTCAGAGAATATGCCGCAAGCCAGATGCAACTGAAGACGGACAATTAAAAAATAATGCAATTGGTTTCGGCGTTTGATATCGCAGCGGGTTACCGGCAAGTCAGATAGGCAAGGAACTAAGAAATCCACCCAATCGAAAAGATAAAGAAGCAGGAACCAAACTCCACACCAAGAGTCCGAAGAAAAAGATGACGAAACAAGCCATTAAAGTCAAAGGAAACCGAGTCGGAGGAATAAGGGCGACCGTAAGCAAACATGCGGCATGTTGCCAATTCCGCCGACGATTCTGTCCATGAATATGTGCCGTCTCGGAAAGACGAACCTTGAACACCATTTTTATGTCATTAGCTGTCAGTCTGGTACTCAGAAACGATGTGTACGAACGAATGCGTACAAAGAGTAGCGTAAGCATAACGTAAATGAGTAATACCATAATGGATACTTGCCTGATGGGCTCGGGTGTATTGAGCAGCCAGAGAAGCTGCAGCAGCGGCTGCGGCTGGATTGAGACCCATCGGGCCATTGGATGTGCGCCCCATTAAGCTACCCTGCTGGTTCCCTGGATGGTTAGATGCAGAAAACATGCCGTACGATGTTGGCCAATCTGAGACAAAGGGAATGAGTCACATGTAGTGGGACACACGATAGGCAGAAAAAACGAAGTTCACGAAGTGAAGGTTTAAAGTGACAAATCGCGAGTGAGACAGAGATATTGAAGAATTCTGCAGTAATAAAAAATCATGCAATACGACAGTAAACCGTACTGACGCTCTAATTCCATGCGAACGCTAGCGGTTGTAGGTACGCCGAGAGACACTAACAGGATGCTCAAGTCTAGGCAACAGTGGGATCATGAACACGGGAAGCACAGCCTAATAATGAAAGGGAGAGGAACAGCCGGTTGAGCTCTTGCAGTAAAACAATGAAGTGGGGGTAGAACAAACTTTGGAACAAGGAAGAAAACAACCAGTATATCGGATTGACTACTATGCGATTAGTAAGAACTATGAAGAACGCGTGGCATCTTGCCTTCATTAAAAGAAAAATATTTTTGATATATACGAACGGAGTAGTGAATTGCGATGGACCCAGATATTGCGATTCAATCATAGGGTGAATACTGCAAAACTCGAACATAAAGTAAATGCATTTGAATGGGGATTTCTTCACAACGGCCTCCTAGCACATGACCAGGAAAGCACTAGATAGTCGTTTCGTCCCACTGGGGCAAGTCAAAGGGGTGTTTTCAACGGCTTCATCAGGATCCGAACCCATGACCACTAGCAGTTAACACCGTTAACAAGCAAACAAATGCCACTGAGCCATGGGTGAACGTCATGATTTACAAGCAAATGGTCGCAAACACATGTATGCAGCTCGGTTTGGAGCAAGAAATTGCAGTGGGTGCAGGTGCGACGGATCGCCTGGTCAAGATAACAAGAAAAAAATGCTAAAGAAAATCAGACAGACGCAAGTACAATACAAAGACGGCTAAGGTGGTCAGTGAAAACTGGACAGGGTTCTAACTCACACACTAGAACCGACCGTATCGCAGCATTGTACGCCCTACCTTTCAGTGAGTCTGATATCCAGTACTCTCAATGGATGCATTAAAGCTGAGGCCACAAGGCTTTGTTGTTACGTGAATTGCCGACCTCGCTGATGTGGTTGTCAGACGTGATGGAGCTATGAAGGTAACTCAACCGGCCGATAAATTGGAGGGCTAGAAAGGCTTTCTATTGGTGGCTAGTATCAGAGACGCAATGGTCTAGTCCTGCAACAGCACACTAATGCTTGAAGACGCGAAGGATACACGAAAGCGTGCGGTGACCAGCATTCGTCAATCCAGTGATTGAACAGAACACGGGTTAAGCTGAAACAGTGGTATGTCGTCCGCAGCAGGGGTTTCAATCTAGAAGTGACTGAGAGTACAGTTATCTACAATGAGTTCGATCAGATGGAGAGAGAATAATAGAAAACAGTTCTTCGGCAAGCCATCCGATACTAGGCAATACAGGTTGACAAGAACGACTGTTAGAATTAGGGAAAACCACAGGTCAAGTCATCAGTGTGTGTCACTGTCCCAACACCTGATGAAGAACACACACACAATCATACAAAAAATGTGAATGAAAAGAAAGTGAAAAAGATAGAATTGTTGCGCGAGAAATGAGGCAGACGGAAACGACAGGTTAAATTATAGATGTAATTGTCTCGCCAGTGTGTAAAGTCTCCAGTTGTACTTCGAAATTTTTGCCGTGGTCATCGCTGTGTTTCAACGTATATAATTGTAGAATCTATCATCAAGCTCCGGTCACCGGGTGGGCTTTGTGAGTCGTAGCGCACTGCGTTACCTTAAGTGGTGCGACTAGCCACATTGCAATCACGGTGTTTGTTCCGATATTTGCTTGTTATCGTCAACTGGTGAGTTTTGTTACCTTTTTATAATACCACATTATGTGAATTGTTTTCAATATAATTAAATATACTCTCAGCATCCTTATGCCAATGAGCCCATTCCCGTATACTTATTTACCACCGGTTACTCAACTGTGTTGCCATATACATTTGGTTCACGTACTTATTCTCAAGTAATTCGTAATATCTGTGACACGGCAGTCAGAGAGAATCAAACGTGATAGATGCCTGAAGTGGCACCAAACGACTATGCTAGTCTAGATCAGGATTCTATCGATGTGTACGCCCCTTCTCCAAAAATGAAATGGACATACTTTCACTTTATCCTTTTAGCTGACGTTTGCTCACGTATACTACGTACCCGAAATGTAGATCCAGCTGTTGATGATTATGTCGATGCGGACTGCTGCAGAGGTCTAACGCGACGGAAAGATTAATACAATCATTGACGAGTTGAAGGTACGGACCGATGGAATGTATTGGTCATTTGTGTATCATATGCGTAGCGCGAATATTGCAACGGGCCGTCTAAGAAAGGTGCTTATCCACGATCGCGAATAGCCGATAAAACATGAAACTAAAGTTAGACGTGTGCAGGATATTGTTCGAAGTGTTGGTATACCGCCGCATGTGGGCATAAAATGGGCCCCCAGGGTCGCCGTTGGAAGGAAATAGAGATGCCACGTAAGAAGGGTTTTGAAAGGACCATTTTAGTTGAGTTTAAGGATCTGGTTTACAGCAATCTGCTGTAGAACCGAGCAGGTAAACTACATAAAAATACCAAGGGTCGATATCAAGTGGCACTGGATACACTAGCTTCAGGGGGAAAAGAAGGGTGATACCACCACCGAGTTTAGCGCACAAGCTGGTGAGGTTTTTACTCAAGATTGATGTGATATGGAGCTAGAAATAGTACCAGTTCGTGGACCTCTTGTTTAGGAGCACAGTGCGGTCGAACCTCGGAAAGCATTAAGTTAGTGTGGACATGATAATGATCACTTTCAAGTGTAGTCAAGTCAGTGTGAGTTTTATGTACTCAAATTGGTGCATTTGCAGCACTTTACATTATCAACCGTAAATACACTGAACAGGTATCATAAAAATGCTAAAATTTACAAATAGGTAGAAAAATGAAAAGGGTGCAATAATGTAACTCGATCGAGCAACGATCGGATCATGCTGAACTAGAACCTGGGGATTCGCATCCATTCAAAAAAAAGATTTCAATAAATATTTCTTTATGCCTCATTTCAGTAGACTAAAGTTTTGTGTCCAGAGGCAATGGATCGGGGATCGTGCACGATATCTCAGCATTTATATTCAAAAAGTGGATAGGGTGGAGTGGTCGAAGTGAGTTTGGGACTTGGATAAGCAAAATATCTATCAGCTTATTTTTGCAGTACTTATATATCCACATTAGATAATGTAAAGAATGACGTTCGGCGAAAAAAGCAACGGCCGAGTTAAAGGCCCCGCCCACTTTACGGCCTACAAATTATATTGTAGTCACTATCAGAACTTAAGGAGGGGAGGTCATAATCTAGGTGCGCCTACTGAACGTGTGGTGCTATCGAGTGACAAGAAGTAACCGTCGAGAGTAGATAATAGGAGTGAGGTGATGATCGCCAGTTTCTTAGCAAAGTGCAAGCGCTCAAAATCGTCTGAAGTTGCAGCATCAACAGCGGCAGCTTAGCTACCTGTGGTGGTGCACGGCAATTTAGTAGCTAAGCGCGCAAGCACATGTTGGATAGTACCAAGCACGTTCACACAAAAGCGCGGAGTGGCTATAATGGTAGCAAAAGCAGCAGCGTAATTGGGTCAAATCAAACGACTCTTGACAGGATGGTTGACTACCCTGCTAAAATATGATATGTCAAGGCCAAGAAATCGAGAATTATCCTGCGGTCGTTGACGAGAACCAGTTTCTGACTCAGACTCGTGTTTTATGCGTGAGGGGAAAGTAACAGAAAGAAACGAACGAGATGAGGATTGAGAGTGATACACAAACTGCCGCAACGATGGGAATTTATGGGAAAGTACTGATAGTAGGCTGTCAGCTTGTTGACGTAGTTGCGGTCACTGAGAGGGCTGGCCCCCAGAGTAACGACTTCCTTTGCAAGCCGCCACCAATCGAGGTGGCATGTAAGCTGCTAATGCGACTACTGGGGCCAGCCCTGTCCTCTGAAAATTCATAACATGCAAGACAGTGCAGGATGAGCCGCGCCATATCGCAGTTAGATATTAGTCACGGCGGTCCGAAGCCGTCGACCATGGCTCAGTGACAAAAGTCGCCGACTCGCAAGAGTAAGGTCGGGGTTCGAATCCGGTAGGATTCGGCGGGTGCGCGCTACTGACGACTTCCAATAGGACGAAATGGCGTTCTAGCGCTTTCCTGGATGCGTGGTGACTGTCCGCCTATGTCTAACTGCGAGAAATCTATACAAAAACCTAATAAATCCCCATACTACTTACAAACGTAAGCAACCTGATTGGTTTGATGAGAACAGTACGATGATTGGCGCATTGGGGTCGGAGAAGAATGCAGCATTACTTCACATATGGCAAACCCCAGTATCATGGGAAAGAAAAGAAAGTTTGGGCGAATTCGACGACAACTGACTCCAGAGCTCCGTCTCATTAAAAATGCATGGTGGACGGAGATGGAATGCTACGCTGAACGCCACCAACACAAAGAATTCTTTGACCCCTTGAAGGCGGTGTACTGACCAAGACTGGAGCCGCTGAGGACGTACATCGATGGTAGTTCAGGCACTACCTGCACACAGGCTGCAGACATAATGCAGATCTGGAAAAAAAACACTGACTGTCTTGAACAACCGTTCAGTGATCGACTGGCCTACATTAAACGACCTGAAGCAGCACGATGTGAAAGCGAGTCTGGCGGACACGCCGACACTGGATGAGACGTAGAGAGCACTTGCTCAGCTGCGAAACGGCAAATGTGCCGGTTCCGACGGGAGCCCGCCAGAAATATTGATACACGGCGGATCCGCGTTGGTGACTGCGCTGCACCACTTGGTGCAACGCGAGTGGATTAATAAGGTGCCACCTGAGATGAAGCATGCCGTTGTGCTCTACTGTACAAGGGCAAAGGGAGCAAGCAATATTGCACGAATTATCGTGGCATCAACTTGCTGAGTTGTGTGGGCAAGGTGATTGCCGGAA